AGTAACCAACCGATAGATCGATGCAGGACCAAGAGCTTCTGAGAAAAGGTGGAAGTTGTCCTTGGATAGCGTTACAGGAAGTAGAATTAGACTATCCATCACCAAGCATACGTACCATAATAAGATGCTACCCCAAACGAAAACATGCTGTACCCAAGTGAAAGTGGCTGATGATGAGAGCGACCTGCAGGCGATTAACCGTCCAGATGATGCGTGTGTACATGAAGGTTCTGAGGTGCTCAATGTCTCAAAGCAGTAGGGACGAAGATATATACGTTCAAGTTCAAGATAAAGATGGCCGAGGGAGGCGAACAAGGCATTGCTGATCCAACCAAAAACTCAGGTCCAGCTGAAATAAATGTTCTTTCGGCCTTGCTGATAGAGTGCTGGGAGCTTTGATAAGGAAAAAACAAAAACAAAAATGTCAGATCATTAACAAAATAGTTGAGATATAATTAATAGTGAAGTAAGCAGAAGAATGTTCAGTGGATCACTTGCGTATGTCTTAGAAAGTAGATATAAACTTATAATCCAACACCAAGTTAAAGTGGCACATGAATTCTAGGTTGACACTGTTGTTTGCAAAGGAAAAACAATTAAAGACTACAGTCAAGAGGTGACATGGTGTACCCTTATGACCTATGAGGCAGGGCAATAAAGCCCAGCAATTTTTAACAATTCCTGTTCTTTTAATTTATAAATAATGTAAAATTAACTTCTTCTTTTTTCATTATTCTACTTGTAAATTTTATAAAAATCATAAACTAGGGAAAATTAGAAGTTAGGTACATGTCTTATAGACAACTTCTAAACAGTATTAGTTCAAGACGTGTTTGGCTTTTTACACATTTCGCAGTCTAACAGCTTCAATTTTCTGTCCAGCCTTATAATTTCAATCGACCAATAATTTTTTTTTTTTTTTCCTTTTTACTGTTTCGTAGCACAATCTTCATGTTAAAAGTGTAGAAGGAGACATAAGGTATATTTGCACCTCGTGTATTGAAGGGTACACTTCATGACTTGTTTGAGCCTTTAAGAACACTAGCAAGTATGCCCCTCATGAAGCAGGGGAAGTGGAGAATTCAGGCCATATACAAACAAATTGATGATTTCTTCTCAATAATCATAAGCGCTGAGAGCCAGGTTGATTCAACGCTAAAATAAGACTCAGCATGACAATCCTCAATCAGCATAGATAAAGTGGCAAGAATAAGATACAAGCATCAGATGGTATCAAGGAGGAATAGTTTACCCCTTGGATGCATTTCATGTAAAACATCAGCGTAAGAGATCAATGCATGCATGCAAACAAGCACAAGAATTCATAAGTATCTCACAACAAATCTGAAGTAATGTTGCAAAAGTACAATGCATCAGTTATCATTGATCACCAATCAACTTAACTCTAGCTCCATAAAAACGAAACTCGCGTGCTACTTCCAAGCATCAGTGCTTCGCCGTTAGAAACAAGATTGCAACTATGTGATACCTCAAAATGTCCAATAATAAAATGGAGAAGTCATACAACTTTGTAGAAGAGCAAACCATCAATACAGAATGAAGTAATGCACGAGAATTTTCCTTGGACACTTTTGAGCTCAAGATGGCTGTAATTTTTTCGTGTATGATATTTACTTGTGAAATTGTTGCTGTTCAGCTAGCTCTGCTCCCCTTTGCTGTTGTTGATTAAAGTTGGGTTCAATCACTTAGCCTCTTTTACCTTTTTCCCCCTCGCCTAACCAGTCCCACCCTCTCCCCTGATGACGGCCTCCCTTACCCAAATCCCATCACCTTCCCTCTTTTTATTGCCCTCAAAATGGCTGAAATGGTGCATCCACCCTCACTTCCCTCAGTCATTGACATGCTTCCAATTCCATTAGCACACACCCAACGGGTGCATCTACGTTATAAGTAACAATTTGGAAATTACATATTGATTCTTTCTCAACTTGCAATCCGTCCCTCCTAGTTTTGAAACATTTGCATCCTAACTCTCACTTACAGATCACTAAACAATTAGCAACCCACTTGACTTGCCTAATTAAGTAAATTATGAGTGAAATTTCTCAATTTTGCTTAGTCACAGGAAAAATATGATGCATTAAGCAAACAAAGTGTACTTAAAACATTTCCACCCTAACTCTCACTTGTCAATCACTAAACAATTAGCAACCCACTTGACTTTAGCCTAATTAAGTAAATTATTAGTGAAAATTCTCAGTTTTGCTCAGTCACAGACAAAATATGATGCATTAAGCAAATAAAGTGTACTAAATTGTATTTCCATTAGGTGCTCTATAATATTATTATATTTTATTTTTAGATATATATTTTTTCTGTCCCTCCGAGAATTTTTGTTTGGATCTGCCACTGCACACACCCCTCACTCACCTCCCTCAACTTCCCTACCCCACTGCCATGTCCCCAATCCCATCAAAGCCGCTCCTCTTTTGTCTTATATGGCTAAAAGAGGGTGATAATGAGAAGTGTACGCTAAAACTCAGTGAACAGTGGAAGCTGAAATTTGACCCCCTATTTTCCCAAATACCCCCAATCAAAACCTTATCATTAAGATGGAAATTGTGAAAATGAGGTAATAAATTAGGGTAGAAAAGGAAAACAAAAAAAAATCCTCCTCTAGCTTTTAGACAATGTGCTATCATGGATTATACTCTCATGGGTCATGTGTAATCTCATATTCTGCAACTAAATACCTTTTTTCCATCT